ATCCCGCTGGATCATTCTACTGGGGCCAACATTTAAACCAAGTGGAGTAAGTGCTTGGGGTAACAGTTGAGCCCTTGCAGTTACTCCCGCAGTTAGTCCAAAATTGGTTCAAAATCTGTGGCAGCGCATTTAGACCCCTAAAGGACCAATGGCATACCCCACTTTAGTCTTTTTCGGCTTAGAGTGTGGGTCCGCGAAGATTGTTCGGTCAAGTGTCTTTTCATACGCGCCTAATTTCTGGTGACCCAGTTGTTCAGTGAAGCTTTAGATCTGGTGACGTTCATTTTCGGCGCTCACAGATCACAACCCCAGCTTTCGAAGCTGTCAGTGTATACGAGTATGTAGAGGGACGTGTTTACGACGTGAACCGTCATTGTGGCCCGTCCTTGCGTCAAACTTTCATTTGCCTTGCCTGTTTATCCAGCCGCCGCCAGGGTCTGTTTTGTATTGTGTTCTTTTTTATTCTTTTTCCTGCCAATCATCATTAGCGTCCCTTCTATTCGCGCAGGCTCTGAGCGTGCCGAATTGCTTGCGTTTTTGCCGTCGACGCGCCAGCCATCGCTCTGGCGCGGACGCAAGAACGTCGGCTCTGCGACGTTAAAGAAAGGAGGGATGTACAGCGAGAATGCGAAGTCCGCAGAAATGCGCGTCGTACAAGCTCCGGGACATTTGTCGCGCTTTCGCCCGCATCGCCAGCGCGGCGACACCGTTTTCTTCTTTTGTTCCGCATGCTCTATCTTTTTCCTCCGTCTTGTCCCTCATCGTCGTCTCTCCTTGTGCCTGGAACGTGAGGAGTTGGTTCGTCTCGCTCCAGCGTTCGACTTTTCGTATAGCGAACGTGAAAGAACTTTTTTTCTTTTCCGTGGTCTTAGGCAAAACCTTTTTTTCTTTCTTTGTCTTATATGCGGCATTTTTTTCGAGTCGCCAAGTGCGGTTGCTGCTGGTGCGTGGTGGTTGCAGCGTGTACCGACGCTATGCGCTGGTCCAATGCGCCCACACCGATTTCTAGTGTTGCCGTCGCCGCTGCCGGCAGTTTCGTTGTTCCTATAATGAACTCATTGAGAACCGCCAGGCATCGGAAAGCCATTCCGTTGAAGGCGCATTTTCGCGAACATGTTAACCTTGGTGCTGCGCTTGGTGAATTGGACGTTCACGAGACAAATAAATGCAATGAATGAGGATGGTGCGTGTGCGATAGCGCTCTCAAGTTTGCGATATAAGATTCTTGTAAGCAATGTGAGATTTCATGCACCCTTTCGCGTGGCAAGTGTTATGCAGTGCTTCAATTCGACAGCGCCTGAGACCTACGAACTTTTCTAGCGTTAGCTACACTGGCCTCGCTGAGCCAATTTCGCGTGGCACTGGTCTGCGCATGCGCAATGATACTCCGCCGCCGCCGGTGTGCGCGCAATTCGATGCGCTGCGCAGACTATCAGTGGTGTCACGCACTGGAGCTGGCACCTCCATCCACCTCCATCGCACTCGGTCGCGGCCGCGCGCGAATCGCCGCCGCCGCCGGTGTGTGCTTTCCAGAGGAGTGCCGTCATAGCCTTGGTAGACATATGGACGCCGACGCGAGCGCCTTCCCTGTGCAGTTGCCATCTGACACTGCGCTGGAGCCGCTTGATAGCGCCTCTGACTGGCGTTTGCCACTGTAGTATAGCCATTGAGAAGGAGAGTGCAAATGCTGCTTAACGGTGCAGTAGAGCGGAGAAGCTTAACTCATCGAATCCCAAAGTAGTTGCCCGGCAAAATAAATATACATGTGCCACATAAAACGTATACCGTGTGTGTGTCATTGGAACAGTTGTAAGCATGATATCTGGAAAGCTAAGAAGAATCAGCTGAACCTTTGCCAACGCTACGTATATCCTGGCATAGCTGAGCTAAGCCACTGCCATTTTTTTTTCAACCATTTGCCGTGTTTTATTCATCTTCTTTTATCGCACATATCGTTTAGTTGTCGCTGAAGTTGTATAAGGACATTAAACAAAAATTTTGTATAACATGATTTTTACTTGGTCTTGGGTTGGTGACCTTTCCTGCGCATCATCTCTATTGTGCACGGAGGAAGAGATTTCCGGGACATCGATTCGCGTGACGAAGGCACATCTTCCACGTCGCTTGGAAGGTATTAGGAAGGCCCTGCTTCTGTTTTAAACATGATCTTGTATACTTCGCGACACTTTTCACCATGCCCGCACTTACGTAAACACCTTTAAAGCTGGCTTATCTGTAGGGAAATGTTTTGAGAGGCGAAGCCCATTTCTGCATTTTTCTTCGTTTTGTTGTTTTTGCAGGTGACATGACGCTTGAATATTCCAGTACTCATGTTATACGCTTTCCCCGAAAACGTTGGTGCTTGGCATACCATAAAATAAGATCGATTTTCTCACGTTACCGTGCGTGGTGTCTTCACAAGGTGTGGCGTTCTTCTTCGTATAAAGCAGTTGCCTCGGAGTAGGTTTGAGTTGACATAATAAGAGGCAAGCCTGAAGGAATAGCTGTTTTAACGATTTGCGTAATTTTTTAGGTGTTATCGAAATATGGGCTAAATGTAGCTCATCGAAAGAATACGCCACCCGCCTTTTATGAGTGTATCATAAGCCTGTGGAAGCTATTTATATTAGAATAATATATATATATATATATATATATATATATATATATATATATTGAAAATAGGGCTATATATATATCCGCAATGTTATTAATGAGATCTAACAGACAGTAATGCCAAAGAATGTATAGGGAAAGTTAATGTAAATGTGAAGAAAGAAAAGTGGGGGTGAAGAGATAACTTGCCGTGAGCAGAAACCGAACCTTATATATATATATATATATATATATATATATATATATATATATATATATATATATATATATGTGTGTGTGTGTGTGTGTGTGTGTGTGTGTGTGTGTGTGTGTGTGTGTGTGTGTGCTCTTGTCCGCACGTGTGTCGTTGCCGCCTTTAAAGCGGTCTTCACCTTATAAAACGTCGTTCGCTGGAGAAGGCCGCCTTTGGCGTTCTCTGTTCCGTTTGCTCATGATCGACTACGTCGGCTTGGCGTTGGTTGAGTCGGACGTTGTCGCAGCGAGCTGCTTGCTAATCAGAGCGTGGCACTCAAATAACGCGAACTCGCAAGCGCTCACGCATCGTGTTCGTACGCGGACGAACAACGCAGTGAACAGAACAGTGTGTATATTTGCCTGTTATCTGTAGGTCTCGTAGTGCTCCAAGCGTGTTTGTGTGCGTACGTGCACCTTGAAAATAGGGCTAACCTGTTTCATACATGGTGTCGGCACTTTTGCAATTTAGCATGCCGTGGTGGCCGTGCTCTACACGGGGGAACGTTTTGCAATTCAGCATGCCGTGGAGGCCGTGCTCTACACGGGGGAACATGACGGCACAATTTAGTCTTACGTGTACATTACTTCCGCGTGGATGTGTAATTTGCCCGTTGAAGCCACAACGCGAATGACATTTGTATGTGTGTGGCTCCGCGGCACCTACACAGGCGGCGCGGGCACGATTGCGAGATCCCGCATCTCAGCCCGTCAAAGCGAGAGATGGATGTTACGGCGCCTAAGCAGAGCGTTTTGTGCCGTCCCGCGAGGTGAATGAACGGCTTCGCGTGGCCTCGTTACGAAGATCGAGCTCGCTTCGTGCACACGTTCTGCCTAGTGAAAACAAAAGAAGCGCCGCGATGATCTGAGCGCGAGCATGTTCGCCGCCTCTGTTGAAATGAAATGGCTTGCGACTTCAGGATGGTGTTTTTATCCTTCTGATGGAGCTGAGCAATCCCTCCCTCGCGTTTTGTCGGGGTAAATTATGTAGTCGTCGAAGGATGTCATGCGTAGCTGAGGAAAAAAAAAAGCGCGGGAAAAGTGTATGTTGATTAGATGCTCGTAGGTGAGCGTGGATGGGGAGAAGAGGCCGGTGTGAATAAATGTAGCGAGGAGTAGAATATCTTTCTGCAATTCGTATAGTGAGGACGGCTCAATGTCAGTCTCGTAAGGGAATAGGCGCAAAAGCGCGCGGAAATTTCGAAACAGCGTGCGTACGGTGCGGTAGTCCCCGCGGTTGTCCCCGACTCGCTTGAATGGTTCAGATTTTAAGTACGCCGACATCTTAGAAGTATTATTTACGTGGGGATGTACTGTAGCTAGCCTGCATTGTCGCCCACATAAAACGTTGGAAGTCGCATAGATATCGGCTCTTCCTTCGGAACACCTCATTCTCTTAATGCATGGCGGGGTGAAGCCGGTCAGGCAGGTGCCGACGCGGTTGAAGCTCTGCCGCGGCGTCCCCTATAGCCACTCGGGCGCTACTGTGACGACACCAAGCAGCATAGCTGCGAGGCGTCGTCGGGCCCGTCCTTTCAGGCGTCTCCTCCAGATGGTGCGGGCTGTCCGCAAGCGGTGCTCGCCGTATACGCCCGCGCTTCTTGCGAACGTCGGATCGATTCGTGAGGTCATCCCTCTCCCACTTACGTCGTCGTGGCGTCGTCTTTCTCTCTCTTCGCGTCCTTCGTCCGGCAAGTGGCGGCGCGTGGCGGCGCGTCCCTGCACACTCACGCACGCGTGTGCGTGGACGCACGGCTGTGGTGGCGGCGACCCGTGGGCCCTCTCTCCGCCCATCGACGTACCCACGCGCGACGTAGTCGTAGTAGTACGCGCACATCGAGACGGCTGCGCCCGGCGTTGGCTTCCCCGATCGGTGCCCGTTCTACTGCTGCTGCTGCTGCTGCTGCTGCGGCGGTGACGAGCGTGGTGGCCCAGTGCGTGATGTTTTGTATGTGAAGCGGCGTGCGCGCCAGTGGCCGTCCACTCGTGGTTCAGCGGTGTGCTCGCGCCCAGTGTCCGGTCGTCCGGAGGCATCAGTGGTGGTTTGTGCGGGGTCAGTCTGATAATGCGGTGCTCTTTTGCCTTCGGCCAATGATGGTGCGGTGCGTGCCGCCCTGGTGGTGGCCAAATCGGCGGTGGCCGAGTGCCTGTTTGTCTCCGTCCTGCTGGTCACTGTCGTGCGAGCCGATGGCTCCCCGCGGTCCCGCCACTTCGGAACGAGCTTCGACGACTCCGCGAGCTAGCCATCTCGTCTTGTGAGTCAGCCCTGGGAAGCTCGCCTGGTCGACTCCGGAGAGATGCCGTCGGGCTGGAGCGAACTGGCGCTCCAATGCGTCAGCGTGAGTATAGCGGACCGCCCACATCGTTCGATTCATCACTTTCTCCGGCTTTCCGATTTCATCGGGCGCTGTCAGCCTTGTCGGCGCTACTGCCTGGGTGCGCTTGCCAGTGCGAGGGGGGCACGAGATCAAGAACAGAATCGGTCGTGATAGCGCTTTGCTTCTTCTTGCGACCGCATCTCTCTTACGTCTTGGTGCTGAAAAACACCTTTCGACATTTTCAAAATGCAGCTATGATTCATTGCAGCCTTATTTGCCGTTCTTTTACGATTTTACGAAATCGCCTCTTCCAGTGTCAAGCAGTGGGCTTAAGACCGTTTCTATTGTAATTAACTGCTTGTCGTGTGTTAAGAGTTTTTTTTTTTTTTTTAGTTAAGGAAGTACGCCTTGACAATTCAAAACTTGATCAAGCGCACTTCGTCGGTGGCTACGGTGATAATTTATTATGGCTAGTTAGAGACGGGATAGACCGCGTCGCGGCAACCGGTTACACCTGCTGAGATTGGTTATGGCCGCCGTATCTATTTTGCAGTGTAATATTGTTTTGCCCCGTGTCGCCCGTACGTTGCCGAGATATAAGTATAGGTCGTGGTATAATTGGTTGATATGTGATGTTTAACGTCCCAAAACCACCGTATGATTATGAGAGACGCCGTAGCGGAGGGCTCCGGATATTTCGACCACCTGGGGTTCTCTAAGGTGCATAGGCCGTGGTGTAATTTTCTTCGCTAAGGTGATGCTGAGTTAGCCTTTTTATTTATTTCTATAGCAGCGTATGACTATATATCGCTGTTGTCGCATTGGAGGGTCTCGTTTCCCGTCTTGTAATTTTAGCGCAGTTTTCTTGCCAGAATGCAGTTCTCTAATAACTCTCCCTTCTCTATGCGAGACAGAACAAAAATGCACTTACGGCGTGCTTCCTTGGTATGCTCTTCTACGCCGTGCTCAGCAAGTGTTACAACTTCTAAATATACCGGTTTAACAATGGTTGTCCTCTCTCCCTCCGACTATTCGGTTTTAGGCCCCGCCGCGGTGGTCTAGTGGCTAAGGTACTCGGCTGCTGACCCGCAGGTCGCGGGTTCGATTCCCGGCTGCGGCGGCTGCATTTCCGATGGAGGCGGAAATGTCGTAGGCCCGTGTATTTGGGTGCACGTTAAAGAACCCCAGGTGGTCAAAATTTCCGGAGCCCTCCACTACGGCGTCTCTCATAATCATATGGTGGTTTTGGGACGTTAAACCCCAGAAATCAATCAACTATTTGGTTTTAGTTTCCTGTTCTAATAATCAACAGACATTTGATTGGCCCTGCTTAGTGAAAAAGGTCAGGTAGTATGGGTTGTAAAAAAAAAAATGCCGTAGTGACATTGTTCGGGTTCGCGTTAACGGGGTTTCGCTATGAAAGTTGAAAGCGTTGAGACACTGCCCGATGCTTTGGCAAAGGGTAATAATAATAAATCGATGCTTATGCGTGCAGGTCACGTTTAACCCCTTGAAATGCCACCGCGCGCGGTGTGAGAGGCATAAAAACGGTGCAACGCCTGTGCGCTTGTCAGTCGTGACAAATTTAGCACAACAGCATGCGTCGTCGTTAGCCAGAGCGGAGATGTTTAGAAAACAAAAGGGGGGGGGGGGCGGTACTGTGGAACGTTGTGTCGATACAGCATTACCTCACCGCATACTTAGCTATAAAGACAGGACATAGATGGCGTTCTTGGTCGTGAGTCATGTGAATGACTGCTGAGTGGTTGGTGTCACATTCGGCGTTCATGCGTGGCCCTCCCTTCTCACGTTCCTGAGCACATTACATTTCTTTAAAAACAAGTAATTGTCGTGTTGATCTAACGCTAGTTAGATCAGCATAGACTAACAAGGGAGTGAATGACAAGCTCTAGGTGAACGTAGTGTCATTGCAAGGCTGTTTAACCCTACCAAAGGAATATTATTATTATTATTATTATTATTATTATTATTATTATTATTATTATTAATGTTATGTCTTGTTTGTGGAGGGCAACATATGGTATCGCGAAACCACTGGTTTCGAAAGTATATTTGTTATAGGCATCTTTTCGTTAAAAACGGCGGATACTCGTGCGAGCCTGTGCAATTATGGTACGTTGCCACTGGTTGCCACAACTGCGCGTTTGCAACGAAATCGCGTTCGACAGCTGCGTCGTCATTCGAAATCAACATGCAGGTAATGCAGTGAGTTTGTCAAATCTGTCGCCATGTGGCGGAGTTATCATCCTTGCAACCGTAAGCGTATAGAGCTTATGCATCTTTCGCGATGTAGAATCCATGCGTTGCTGTCAGCACCACACACTAATGCACAGTAATCGAAAAAAAAAAAGAAAGATTTCTTTAAGAAGGGTTTGTAGCATTAAGTACGTACGCACCTAGCATGTCCATAATTTCCAACTTACCTCTAATGTATACGCATGAGCAGAATATGAGCACGTGTGTCCGAAGGTTAACGTTTTTTTTTTTTTTAACGCCCGCACTTGTTATATTGTGCGTAGCCCATACAGCGAAAGTACACTGCCAACTTGTCGAAGCCTTGCGTAGAGCTTTCGGTAAAGGCATACGCTTAGTTCGCTAAGTTTAAGACAGAATTTCTCGAATCATCTTGGGATATTTTCTCGTTTTCATGGGGTCTGTTTCTTATTTCTTTAGTTCTTCAATGCAAATCGAACTTTAAGCACAGCCTGTGCGCTCAGATTTGGGTTCACGTTAAAGAACGCCAAATGGTCGAAATTTTCAGAGCCCTCCACTGGGGAGGCGTCTCTCATAATCATATGGTGGTTTTGGGACGTTAAATCCCACATTTCAATCAATCAGTCAACCTTCCTTCCACGTTAATCTTTTGTTTGCTTCCACCCTCCCCTTTCTTTTCTTTCTTTTTCTTTCCTGCCTTCTGAATTTTCTTCGCTTCCGAAAACTTTATACGACTTCCTCACGAAAGTACAAGAAGCAAGATTTGTTGCGCACGCTGAATGAGCACGACCAGACCGAAATGGCAGTCGTGTGCAGAGACTGTTTTTCTTTATATTTTTTTGCATTCTTTCTGCGACTGATTAAAGCAACGCGACTGAAAGTGCTGTGCTGTTGTTTGCGCGCGCATAGCGTAGATCACGCACGGACACGCGAGAAGCTGATGCCGCTCGGTTCCCGCAGTTTATTACCGCGTTCTTTCGCGCCTTCCGTTCTGTTTTTTTTTTTTTTTTCCGCGACCGTCGGTCGCCGGTGTGGTTGGGTGCTCGCGGTTGACAGCGCACGCACGAACCGGAACCGCTCGCCGCTCGGGCGGAAGCAGCGGCGCATCGTTGCGCGTTCTCGCTTCCGGTGCCGGCCTCTCGTATCCGCTGCTGTGCTGGAAGGGCCCGCGGACTCACGGTGGTGTGGTTGGCGGGAGGGGGGCTTACCACGATAACACCGCTATCGTCCTCTTTTGGCAGTGGCCCTCACGCGGGCGGTGGCTTCTTCTTGCGCAACATTGTGTGCGTCTGTTTGTGAGGGCATGTAGGAACATTCCTCTTTCCTTTTTTTTTGTTTATTCCTTAAGAGCGCCGCATTCAATTCGTGTGAACAGAAATCCTTGGCGGTGCATGCGTTTGGCGGCTTCACACTCGTGTTTCAGGCCTGCCTGCTTACTATGTAGCGACAAGCTTGATATATCGACAGCGCCGCTTGAAAATGTTGCGTTGTGCCTCGTGTTGCTTTCGCCGTCGCATCGGTGCGCTCTGCTGAGGCGTGGTGGTGCGAGTCTTTTGCGTTTGAACTTTTCTTTAAAGTGCAGCATGCCGACGTTTGAGGGCGTTTCTTTTTTTTTTTTTTTAGGCGACTCTCTCCAGCGACGTATTGGGCACTCGTGTACGTACATTTTGTCGGGCGCGGTTTCGACGAAACTGGAAACAAGATGGCACCTGATCCCGAGCGAGGCCACTGTTTACGGCTTCTTTTCGAGGAACGTCGATCGCGGAGGCACGGTTTCCGTGCTTCCCCAGACGTCGCGAATTCTGCGAACGACTGACAAAAAGGTTAGTCTTTGGCCGTTGTGATAGCTTCGACAGGCCTCGCTGGACGCGATGCGTCTCGCGCGGTCGGGTTTGACGCGCGGCCGCTGTTTCGCCACGCCTGTCTCCTTTCAACGAGATGCGCGTACCTGCCTTGTTGTTCCCCGCCTTGTCCTAGCTACTTACGGCTTCGAGACCCCCGCTTTGTCCGCTATTGCCCGCTATCACTGGGCGCACTTCGGCCGTGCTTCGAGTTCTTTCCATCTCGTGCGGCCTGCTCTCTGTTTGAGAAAACGGAGGACAGGAGGACGCTCCGAAAAGCGCGCGTTTCCTACGCGGACAACAACAGAAAAAAGAAAAAAAAAAGACGGAGCCTTGGACGAAACGTGACTTGGGCTTCTTCGCCTCTTTCGCTCTCCGTTGCTTGAGCGTGTGTTTGCCGAAAGATCGTTGACTCGCCACCCTTCCTCGACCGCGCTCTCCTTCGTCTTAACGACGGGGAAAGTCGTACGAGGAAGACGGGGCTTCGCCAGGCCAGGAGGAGAACCCGAAGAAAACAGAGGCAAAGCCCGCAAAGCACGCACGCGCGAACGTGCAGCGAGTGGCTGCGTGGCTTTAGCCGTGACAGCGGGCCCGGGTTCCGTGCATTCTATTTAGAGAAAGGCTCGCGTGCTTGCGCGAGCAGCTCATTGTTTGCCGTTGCCGCTGAAGAAGCATCGGTCCCCTCTTTTGCTTTCCGTCTGTCTGTGTCCGGGTGGGTGCCAATGCAAGGCTCGTCTGCCACGGCTTATCTCCTTCCGCGCCATTCTTGTCTCCGGTCTGCGCATCCCGCCATCACCTCCGAGACTTTTTTTGATGTTGTTGTTGTAGTTGAATCTCGAGAGTACACGTAGTCCCGACGTAGGCTCCGGACCCTGGTCTTATATCCGTGCACTGCCGTTTAAGCGTGGCTAAGTATACCGAGATTCCATGCTCAAAGCGTGATAG